TTGTTGGAGGAAAAAGAAAAGAAACAAGAAGAGAGATTACAGCAGTTGTTGGAGGAAAAAGAAAAGAAACAAGAAGAGAAATTACAGCAGTTGTTGGAGGAAAAAGAAAATAAACAAGAAGAGAAACAACAACAGTGGCAAGAAAACCTGCAACAGTGGCAGCTCGAACAGCAAAATAAAGAAGAGAGACTACAGCAATGGTTGGAGAAGAAAGAAAATAAACAAGAAGAGAGATTACACCAGTGGAAACTGGAACAAGAAAGGAAACAGGAAGAGGCTGATTAGGTCCATGGCTAATATATCCTCCTTGTCTAAAAGACAGTAAATCATCCTTTAATGTATTTAATTCACTTGGAAATTTACTAATCTTTTTCATTTGTGTGTGCTGGCTTTCTCTCAACTTCCTGTTTCTTTTCTTGTTCCAGTTGCCACTGGGCTGGTTTTCCTGCACCTGCTGTAGTCTCTCTTCTTGTTTATTTTCTTTCTCCTCCAACCACTGCTTTAGCCTCTCTTCTTGTTTATTTTCTTTGTCTTCCAACCACTGCTGTAGCCTCTCTTCCTGTTTGTTTTCTTTCTCCTTCAACCACTGCTGTAGTCTATTTTCTTGTTTGTTTTCTCGTTCTTGTTTCGTTTCTTTTCTTCCAACAACTGTTGTAATCTCTCTTCTTGTTTACTTTGCTTTCGAGCTGCCACTGTTACAGGTTTTCTTGCCACTGCTGTTGTGTCTTTTCTTGTTTCTTTTCTTTTTCCTCCAACAACTGCTGTAATCTCTTTTCTTGTTTATCTTCTCGTTCTTCTTGTTTCTTTTGCTGTTCTTGTATTGCCGCCATCAAATCTGCTAAGCTGTAATTTGATTTGCCACTTCTCGTTTCCATCTTTTTCTTCTTTTTTATCTTACTTCTGACACCAATTTGTTATGTATCTGCTTATTTGTTAATTTCCGGTATAAATTCTTTCCTAGGAACTTCAGTGATACGAGTCCTTTCTTAATTAAAACTAGTTTATTCCTTCTCCATACAACTTTTTGATACACAAAATTTCCACAGTCACTTTAACTTAACTACTTTTATAAACACTCACTATAATTCACAGCAATTCACACACTTTACTTACAGTGCCTACTGCTCGCTTGACTCAACTATCTCTCTTCAATCTATCTCTGGCTTATATACGAAAAAAAGAGGGCGTCTAGCAAATATTGGGGTATTCGTGAGATTACCCAATAAGTCACGATCCTTCTAGAAACTCCAGCACGCATGCTCCCAGCTTCACGTAACTTCTGCTGTTGTAACAGTATATATAAAGTAAATAATTGGTTATAATAACTACCTCATTCAAATAGTAGAAAACAAAAACTGATATATGTTATAATAGTTGTCTTGTTGACTTGTGAATGTGAAACAGCAGATGTCCTACAGAACATTGTTTGCCTAAAGTAAAACTATCCTTAGTAGTGATAACATCTGAAACACTGTAAAAAGTACATAAGTGAAATGACATAGTTTGTTAAGAACTTAGTTACATATATAAAGAAAAATTAGTGAAAGTGCATTATATTTAAATAAGTGTCCTTTTCAGAACAATAATTGTAAAAATTATGCTTAAATATGGAACTAAAAACTATAATCAGTATGTTAAATGTGTACTAAACCATACAAACGGGATCTGCTGTGTTGTTTAATATTTATAAAAGCATTAGGTGTGGTAAAATCTTTCAGCAGTAAGTTAATTGTCCTACAGAAACACAAATAAATGAAAAATACGATGAGACATGTTGAAATCTGCATGTTGTCTTTTGGAAGTATAGAAATACCTTTGTAAAACGTATTCAATTAAATGAAACTTGAAATCTGTGTGCAATCCACTATCCACCTTCCACCTATCTTTGTAAGACCATCCTCCTATAGAAACTTTGTAACACAATTTGCCTAACTACACAATTGGCATATACAAATACTATCTTTAGTAACACAATCCATATATACAAACATAGTCCGCCTATAAACCTTAATAATATGATCCGCTTATAGTAACAGGCCTTCTGATATTGAACTATGATATCACCCCTCCCTAAGTTAGCCACGTCCTCTGTTTCCACTTTTCTGACCTTTTGTTGTTATGTCCACCTGTCATGGCAATTTAGCAATGCGCTCTTTGGTGATACTTAGTGCAAATATAACGTCATCGTCTCTAGCGATATGATTGCATAGCACCAACGCGACACAAGTCCTTTCTTAAATAAAACTGGTTTATTCTTTCTGAATGTAACTTTGCGATACACATAATTTC